TACGTAGTATTNTATGTATACTTATTTATAATATAATATATATAGTATATATATATATATATATATATATATATATATATATATGGGAAAAGTTTATATAGAGTCGAGGCTCAAAAATTTCACTAGAAGAGGTTGTTTTGATGCCTAAATATCCTCGAGTTGATCATCTTGACATCAAGATGCATGGACATGATGAAAAATGGATTTCAAATTTTGGAAATAGTCTATCTTGTAACGCATTTTTGGACTGTCAATTTTCAAGATTTTCAAGTTTTTATAGATCTACTCGTTTTACACTATTTTTGAAGTTTTAAATTTTATAATTAAGGATGAAAATATATTTTAGGGCTATCACAAAGGTTTCCAGTATTGAAACCACATTTTTTGACACTATTTGAAGGTGGGCTCTAATTTGATTGTTTAGAGCCTCGGCTCTATACAAACCGCACCCTATACACACACACACACACACACACGTCTATGTGCTTTTGACTTATTTTTAAAATGGTTATTTTCTTTTTAAAGTCTGCAAGTTAATTCCTTTTTAATTAATTTATTTATTTATATATATATATATATATACATACTGTTTTTTAAACCTTTTGATGCATAGAATGAAGTTTTTATAGATGTTCTGATTTGCTATTTTTATTTTTTAATTTGACGGCTGTGAATTGCTGTTTCTTGTGTTTTTTAATACATCTAATGTGCTTTGACAATTTTTAAAGGGGTATTGTCTCTAAGGGCCTGTTTGATAATTGGAACGTGGAAGTTCCTTGGAAATTGGAAGTTCTTCTTCCTAGGAATTGGAACATTAACATTTTGGATGTTAAAACTGGAAGGTATATGTCAAAATTTCGAGCTATTGTCATAAAATATTTTTGATAGATGTTTTGGCTTATCGTTTCAGTTTTTTTTTTAATATATATATTTTGACTAGCTAATTGCTATTTTGACGAGCTAATTGCTATTCATTTATGGTTTTTTATGCATCTAGCGTGCTTCGATTATTTTACAAATATTTTTAACTCTGTATTTTGGAATTTTTCCCCCCATATTTTCATGAATATGAAAATGCTGGTTGGGGTTTTATGC